GACAGAGTGAGACTTCATCTCAAAGAAAGAAAAGAAAAAAAAGTCCATGCCAGGCAATTCCCAAAGCACTCACAGAAACTAGGATCCCAAACTCAGGCCCCTCCTGCTCCCTCATTCTGGAGACACCTGAAATGAAACAGGTGCCACCACAACTCGCATGGACATACTCATGCATCAAAGCCAACAGTCACCACCTCAGCGCCTCGCACCCCAAAGAAACGATTCAGCTGTTTACTGAAAACATGAGCCAGTGGAAAAGGCACAAACCCAGATAGAGGTATTTTCCATTTTCATCTTTTTCTGCCAGGGGACTCCCTTCTTTCTCCAGCTCCTTCCTGTATCTTTTGATGTTCTTCACCATCAGGTCCTTCCGGGTCAGTTCATAGTGGTTTGGAAAATGGTTGACTATTTGGTCATCTGAGAGCCGATATCCAGTTTCGACGCTGAACACATTTCGGATGGTTTGCACGCTCATCCTGAAAGAGATGAGCAGGACAGATGCTGGGCAGTGACATCTGTGTGGCAGGAGCCCTTGTTCCCATCCCCGCAAACACCCTGAACCCTCAGCACCCTTCCCCACTACTCCCACATCCCCCGGCACCTGAGCCAGGGGCTGCCCGGCCCATAGCAGCACAGAACAGGTGCCCGGGGACAGGCCAGGACCCAAGCTGTGTGAGGGCCAGGAGCTGTGCTGATTCTGTACCCTGAGCTGTTTCCCTCTCTGGCCCAGAGCAGGGGCTCAATAGATGTTTACTGATTAGTGATAACACGGATTAACAATAACACTGTCAACAAATATACCCTTTTCAGACTCTGAAGTCAGGAAACTCATTTAAACAGGATCTGTACCCAAATTCAGGAAGGTCAAGGACCCTTTCAAAACAAAATCACAGGGGTTGGTTACGGGCCCTGAGTCAGTACTCGATATTCTTGGAGAGTCTGCTGAAGGGGCAAGGTTGGGACAACAGAGTTGAAAGAGAAACGGATTCCTTCCAAGCCTCTGAGAATGCCATGGTCTCCCTGCCACACGCCTGTCCTCACCACACCCGCTGAGAAGCAGGGAAGGGGTACGGAGGAAGAGCTGGCCCCGCCCAGAGCCAGAGTCACAAAACATGGCAAGTGGCCCCAGCCTCTTGCACTGTGGTCCCTGTGCCTCCAGCCTACCCCCACCCCACAGCACCACCCTGGAGAAGGTGCCCAGAGCCCCCAAAGGGTTGCTGTGGATTCCAGGATGGCTAGAATAAAGGGACTCTTTTTTGACTTTTTATTATGGAAAACCTCCACCACACTCAGAAGGAGAGAGAAAGCGTTGAGGGGACCCCCATTGCCCCATTCCCCAGTTAATGGCACGTGGCCAGTCCCGTTTAGTCTGAACCTCCACCTCACTCAGCACTGGCATGTTCTGAACCAACTCCCAGACATCATATTAGTTCATCCAAAGCATTTCTGTAAGATTCTCTAATGGTTTAAGACTCCATGTTCTATTATGTGATATCCTAATTTATATAAGTATCACAACTAAAAAAGTATGTATGTATGTATGTATTTATATATTTTTGAGACAGGGTCTCGCTCTGTTGCCCAGGCCGGGATGTCATGACTTGATCTCGGCGTGCTGCAACCTCTGCCTCCCAGGCTCAAGCAATCCTCCTACCTCAGCCTCCCAAGTAGCTGGTACTACAGGAAGGGGCCACCGTGTCCAGCTAAATTTTTATAGTTTTTTTTTGTAGAGACGGGGTTTTGCCACGTTGCCCAGGCTGGTCTCAAACTCCTGGACTCAAGTGATCCTCCCGCCTCAGCCTCCCAAAGTGCTGCAATTACAGGCGTGAGCCACCGTGCTTGGCAACGGCAGGAATACTTCTATAGGGAAAAGCTTCCCTTCATCAACAATCTAGATGCCTCAAGAAGAGTTCACACACAAAACACAGAATCAGTGCTTGATTCCTTTCCTTTATTTATCAGTTTTTCAAAGTAAAGAGCTGGCCAGGCGCAGTGGTTCACATCTGTAATCCAACACTTTTGTTTTATTTTGGTTTTGTTTTGTTTGTTTTTTGAGATGGAGTCTTACTCTGTTGCCCAGGCTGGAGTGCAATGGTATGATCTTGGCTCACTGCAACCTCTGCCTCGTAGGTTCGAGCCATTCTCCTGCCTCAGCCTCCTGAGTAGCTGGGACTACAGGCACGCACCACCACACCCAGCTAATTTTTGTATTTTTAGTAGAGATGGGGTTTTGCCATGTTGGCCAGGCTGGTCTCGAACTCCCGACCTCAGGTGATCTGCCTGCCTTGGCTTCCCACAGTGCTAGGATTACAGGCATGAGCCACCATGCCGGCCTATAATCCAGCACATTGGAAGGCTGAGAATTGGGGCAGTGTTCAGTTGAGCAATTTTTTTTTTTTTTTTTTTGAGACAGAGTCTCACTCTGTCGTTCAGGCTGGAGTGCGGTGGCGCGATCTCAGCTAACTGCAAGCTCCGCCTCCCGGCTTCACGCCAGCCACTCTCCTGCCTCAGCCTCCCGAGTAGCCTGTACTCTTACATTTCAAGAACAAATGGGCCAGGTGGCTCACGCCTGTAATCCCAGCACTGTGGGAGGCCAAGGGGTCTCGATCTCCTGACCTCGTGATCCGCCTGCCTTGGCCTCCCAAAGTGCTGGGATTACAGGCTTGAGCCACCGCGCCGGCCTCAGCTGAGCAATTCTACTCCTCTTTGTGGTACTGACTGAGGTCATTCAGAAGTTTAGAGCCAGTCGATGGGATAAGTTGGGGGTCCCAGAAGGTTTTCTTCACATCTGGCACCTTGACTGGCCTAGCTGGAGGCTGGAAGGTGGGCACAGCTGCACTGCCATGTAAAAAACCTACCTGTGACTGCTGTGGCACAAGGGCTTGAGGATGGCACCTTCTCACAGGACAGCTCAGGGCACTTGCATGTTTCCAATAGAGGAACTGGCCTGGGCCCAGGCATGTGTGATTTTTACTGTATTCCACTGGTCAATGTGGTCAAAGAGTCTTTCACGAGGAAAGGCCAAAGACCTCAACTTTAGAGTGAAGCAGTGGCAAGAACTTTGTAGCCATCTTTATTTTCTCTCTCTCTTTCTCTCTTTTAGAGACAGGGTCTCGCTGTGTTGCCCAGGCTGGAGTGCAGTGGCACAGTCAACGCTCACTGGAGTCTTGACCTCCTGGGCTCAAGCAAGCCTCCCACCTCAGCCTCACAAGTAGCTGGGCCTACAGGCACGAACCACTACACCTGGATAATGTTCGTATTTGTTTGTAGAGATGAGGTTTCACCATTTGCACAGGCTGGTGTCAAACTCCTGGGCTCAAGAGACCTGTCCGCCTCTACCTCCCAAAGGCTGGGATTACAGGCATGAGCCACTGCACCCAGGCATCCCACCACCCAGCTCACTTTTTTTTGAGACAAGGTCTCAGTATATTGCCCAGGCTGGTCTCAAACTCCTCCCAAAATGCTGGGATTACAGGCATGAGCCACTGTGCCCAAGAGTTCGATGCCCTGGCCTATGGCCATCTTTAACCTGCCACAAATTGGGTATGTGGCTTTTGGGGTATTTTTCTGTTTGTAGTTGTATGAATTTACAGTTTCAAACACATATGATAAGTTCCAATCCATTGCAATTCTTTTTTTTTTTTTTTTTTTTTTGAGTCAGAGTCTTGCTCTGTCACCCAGGCTGGAATGCAGTGGTGTGATCTCGGCTCACTGCAACCTCCACCTCCCAGGTTCAAGCAATTCTCCCTGCCTCAGCCTCCCAAGTAGCTGGGATTACAGGCGCCTGCCACCGAGCCCAGCTAATTTTTGTATTTTTAGGAGAGACAGGGTTTTACCATGTTGGCCATGGTTGGCCAGGCTGGTCTCGAACTCCTGACCTCAGGTGATCCACCTACCTGGGCATCCCAAAGTGCTGAGATTACAGGCGTGAGCCACTGCGCCCAGTCTATTTATTTATTTATTTATTTTTTAAATTTTTAATTTTTAATTTTTTTTTTCTTTGAGACGG